TGGCTATATTTTGCTGTCAACTTACTAATGAAGACTTAACTCTAATTTTGCTTTGTGCCTCTTAACCAGCAAGGCCTACATTAAATTACCTGTGCCATAACCACAAATATTCCCTGGGAGATGATTAATGTGGCTTTTATTCAATTATTAAATAATCAGATATCTCAAATACTTAAGCTTCTTTTTCAAAAGAGAGTCTGTGCTTAGTCATTCATTTATTTTACAATTTCACATTAAGGATTGAAGGCGTTCGTAACTCTGATTCTCAGGCTGTGTAATTATGTCTTTAGAAAAGCTATTGCCTGGTAGCGGATTAGTAGGAACCCATTGAATTTTTTTTCTTAACATTTTGAAAACATGGGTACTTCTTTTAAAACATAGTTTTCATAAGTCAAATTTTGTTTAATTTCTGGTATCACATTTATAGGAGCATGCCACAGTTTCATAGTTACTGTGATTTAAAGGTTCATTGAAAATGCTATTTTTAAGTGGAGCTTTTAGAGGTATGTGTATTAAATACCTTAGAAGTTCAACAAAAGTTGAACTTTATATTAGTAAGTTCTCAAAAGTTTTTTTTCATTGAGTAATCACTGTACATTCAGTCAGATCCTGACTGGTCTGCCTCCTCAACTTTCCGGAATCTTCTTGGCGTTTTTGTTTCCACAGCCTCAGCTCTGGTTTAGGGCTTATTATCTCCTGTACAGACTATTTCTACTTTTCAGATTGTCATCTGCTATTCTGGTCCTGTGTGCTTTAGCCTGTCCTTCAAACTTCTTCTCTTGAAACATCCTCCTAAGTACAGATCTGATCATATCAATATCTCACTTTAAAAAAGCAATCCAGCAAACAAAAATCCTAGTGCCTTCACGTTTCCCGTACTGCTTCTTAAAGTTTTCCTCAGATCATCTGGCACCCACCTCCACACCTCTACCCTGCTACCAGGAGCACTTTACCACTGTGCTATATCCCTGACCCTTTTATTAAACTTTATTTTGAGACAGGTCTTACTAAATTGCCCAGGCTGGCCTTGAACTTGAACTTGTGATTCTCCTTCCTCATCCCCCCTACCCAAGTCACTGGGATTACAGGTGTGCGCTCATCTTCAAATTGTTCTTAGAAGTTAAAAAAATAAAAATTAGTGGCTCTAAATTATACTACTAGAAGAGTGGAGTTGCTTTGAGGTTTTGTGTTCTGTCTGAAAAATTCACATTCATTTGATGTTGTAATAGCATTGGATTCAATTTAAAACCAGTAATTTGACTTCTAATTTTTTTAAAAAAAAACTTGATACTATTAGAAGATATACTGTATTTATATGCCTTTACATATTCCTTTGTTAACAGGAGTACTTTGAAAGGTATGACAGGATAGAAATCTAAAATTCTTAGTTTTTACGTGATGGGCCAAGTCACATTTGCAGTCTCATTTCT